CAATGCGGGGCTCGAACTCATGAACCGTGAGATCATGACCTGAAACAAAGTTGGATGCTTCACCGACTAAACCACCCAGGCATCTCTATAGTTTAAACAAAGAAATTGGCATACCTGGTCTACCCATTGATAAAAATTAATAAATTAGATTAAAATGTAAAGAAGCAAGCTGCTAATGGCTCATAAAAGACAAATGAGCCTATATTTAAATTTCAAATAAGTGTTTTAAAAAAATGGATGTGTCAAATACCTTTATATATTAAGGATATTAATCCCTTGTCATTTTCATGTTAATTTTTTATTTTATATAGTTCAGTCTATCTTTTCCTTTGTAAATTCAATTGCTTTTAAGTTTAGAAACATATCTCATATCCAGCAGTAAAATGATTGTTTTATACCAGGTTTTAAAAAATCCTTTTCACTTTTCACAAAACTCTTTAAATCCACCTAGAATTTATTTTGGTGTGTGGGAGTAAAGTAAAAATCTAACTAAATTATTCTGAAGTAGTTACCTAATTCCTTCTTTGTTGGTTTCAATGTTTTCAAATCTTACTGGGCTAGTATACAATCTAGCTTAGTTGGTGATAGAACAGATCTGGAACCAGACCTCCTGAATCCAAACTTGGCTTCATTCTGTTACTTGCTCTGTGATAGCGGCAATGTTAATTATATGTTTCTTGTTTTTTTGTTTTTTTTTACTAAAAAATTTTTTTTTTTAGAATTAAGTGTGGTAAGATATGTAAAGTGCTTAGAAAAGAGGCTGGCCTAGAAGTGTTTGTTGTTATGCAGAGGTCTCTGTCTTCTGTTAAATTAATGTCTTATTTTTATATCAGAATTGTATCACATTATGGTTTTGTAATAAATTTCACACCTGCTAGAGCAAGATGCTTTTCTTTTTTCACTTTAAAAAGTATTAACTATTCTTGTGAGCTTATTTCCCATTTGAAACTTAAAATAATTGTCAAGATTGCCTAACCAAAATAGATAAATAAATCTTTAGTGAAATTGTTTCAGAACATGTAAACCAACCTGAAAACAAGTATATCAAATAATAATAGTTGCTATATATATGTTTTGCAGTTTTCTTCATGAAGTGCCAAATTTTCTCATTAAAGTTCTTCCTGAAATTTTATTTTTTGGCTTCTATGGAATTTTCTTCTTTCAATCAATCCCACTTGGCTCACTCTCTTGTTGATACCATCCTCTTTTATTGTTATACACTGTAAGTTTCTTAAATTTTTTTTGTCTACTTCTCTGTTATTGCCATTAGAATTTAAGTCCTTGGAGGGCAGGAATTTAGTCTGTTTGGTGGACTGCATCTCCCTAGTACTCAGTATTCACTCTGACTGTATAAATATTTGCTGAATAAATACATACAAGAATGTAAAGGTATTTATCTTACATTCAGGGATTTTGTTGCACTCTCTTATTTTAATTTTAAATTTTTTTATAATATTCTCATGTTAGGTTGATAAGCATATTACCTCCAAATAATGCTTTTACTTTCCTTTTAAACCTGTTGTTTGAATTTCAAGTTTATTCACTTGGCCAGAATATAAAATAATAACAGTAATAATAGTCATCTTTTTTGTTACTGATTTTATTAGGAAATCCCAAGACAGAATTTTGGTTTTAAAAAACAATAGCTTGAAGGTACTTTAAATCTCAGACACTTAAAATCTTGATACTAGGATGCTATGACATTACACAAAAAAATAGAAACAAATTTACTAAAAAATACAAGGTGACTGTCTTATGGAAAAGTTTTACATTTCTAGTACATTCCTTAACTTAGAAGTTACAAATATAACTTGCTATTAAAATAACTATTTTTACCTTATAGCTTTCTGCTCCTTGAATGAGATCTCTCATGGAAGTAGACAACTGATCCTTTTCTGATCGAACAGATTCAAGCTCTTCCCGTAGAGTCTGGGCCTATTTTAAATATATGATAAAAAGTTTTGTTTTGTTTTTTAAAGATTTTATTTTTAAGTAATCTCTACACCCAGTGTGGGGCTTGAACTCATGATGCTGAGATCAAGAGTCATGTGCTCTACCGACTGAGCCAGCCAGGCGCCCCTAAAAAGTTTTTTATGGACAGAAAAACTAGATTTTCTAACATGCAAGATTATTGAATCTTGTATTTTTAAGTCACCTTACCTCTCTTTTGCTAGAATCTAGTTCTTTTTTTGCCTTCACAGCAACTAGTTTTATCTTATTTATTTTTTCCTCTTTCTCTTTGGATTCTTTTTCCAGATATCCTAAAAACACAAAATGAAAAGATTATATATATGAACTCAAAAGGAAAAAATCCAAATTATTTACTTGTGTTAGCCTTAGAAATTGACCTTTAATCTGGAACACAAAATCTGTAATCTGTAATTAAAAGTAATAAGTAGCAAAAATATTAGTATCTATTTTTTTAAGTGAAAGTTTAGTCATTACCTAAGCAAGGGAAACAATGGTAAAAATGTCCATTTCCTTCCAACTGTCAAAATAGCCTACTCATTTCATAAGTGTCTAGGAATTGGAGAGGCTATTAGTGCTCCTTTAATGTTAGAAGATTTCCTAGAAACTCAACTATGGTAGGATTTTAGGCGGCAATTTGTAAATCAGGATCATATGGGGAAATATCAGATACAGTTAAATACTTTTGCTCTGTAGACACACTCCAATCCTGATCTCTTCCTTAACATCTTTAGCCATTTCCTCTATTTCAGCTCCTGTGTTCCAGATCTTATTTCTTGATATCTCTGCTTAAGTTATCTGAATTTCTGTCCTCGCTCATTAATCCAGATGCACCTGTGCTCACAGACTCTGCCTTTCTCTGCTGCTACAGGTGATTATTTTGTCTGTGTGTTTGTGCAGCACTGGCCAATTGTTCCACTTTTGCATTTCATCCTACACCTCTCATGTACTCAAGAATCAGTGCAGCAAAGCTCCCTCTTTCTTGTGCAGCAAATCCCCCTCTCTAATGGAGTTTTCTTTTTTTCTTTCTTTCATTTTTTTTTTAAAGTTTATTTATTTATTCTGAAAGAGAGAGAGAGAGAGTGGGGAGGGGCAGAGAGAGAGGGAGAGAAAGAGAATCCTAAGCAGGCTCTGTACTGTCAGCATGTAGCCCGATGCAGGGCTCGAACTCATGAACACATGAGATCATGACCTGAGCTGAAATCAAGAGTTGGCCACTCAACTGACTCGAGCCACCCAAGGTGCCCCAGTGGAAGCACCAAAGAGGATGGGAAAGGTCATAAAAGGATTGCTGAAACAGCACACAAACAAAAAAAGGCAAACCACCACACTTCCCCTCTGGATACTGTCTCATCTCTTTTATAAGCAAATCCCTTTGTAAGCATGTGTACACATGCTCTCAAATTTCTTTTTTTTTTTTTTTTGAACATATTTCATTCAGGCTCTGGCTTTAGCATATCACGGAAAAGGTTATCAAGTTACCAATGCCCTCTAGTTTGCTTACTCCAATGGTTAGTTCTTTGTACTGATGTTACTTTACCTATTCTAGCATTTGCCATGGTTAAATATTTTTTCCCTCTTTAAACACTTCTGTTACTTGCACTTCATCGATCTTAATTTCCAACACATTTTATGTTCTGGGTTTTCCCAACTCACTGGCCGCTCCTTCCCAATCTCCTGTGCTGTTCCCATCTTTCAGACTTTTAAATGACAGAGAACGGTCTCTGGTCTTCATATTTTTTCTACATTCACTTCCTTGGTGATCTCCATCTCATGGCTTTTAACTGTTCTGTTAACTACAACTTTTCACCTCGGATCTAGCTCTCTCCCCATAACTCCAGATTTGCATATTTAGTAGTCTACCTGACATCACCATCTGAGTTGTTAAATTTGTCTCAAACCGAGTTCCTAATCTCATTTTTAACCCCACTTGTCCCAGTCATCCACTATAAGAAAACTATCATTCATTTAAAAATCTTCCAGCTTCCCCTGCTACCTCTCCCTCACTAGACTAACTAGACACTAAATTGAAGATTTATGGGCACATTACTTAACACTTCTAAGTATTTGTCTCTTATTTTTAAATGGGAATAAAATAGCTACTCCATAATGTTACTATGACAAAGATGTGTATAGGACAAAGTCTCAACTTCTTTGCACACATTCTAGTGCTTTTGTGGTCATACTCCTGCCTCTCTAGGAACTTCTTGGTATGCTCCTTGATGTTATGTATGTTGATATTCACACACCTGCCGTTCTCTCCTGCCAGAATACCTTTCTTCTCATGTCAAATTTCTCATTCTTCAACACAAAAGTATAGCCTATTCTGTGATGTTTTTCCTACCTGAAGACAGACAGCCGATCATGCCTTCCTGTACTTCCAGCATTACACCTTGTCGACACTTCAAACTACTACAAGAACAGCCCCTCTGGCACTTGGCTCTTTGAAGACATGGTCTGTATTTTAATCACTTGCTATTACTAGTGCCTATCTAGCTAGGCATTCAAATAAACTTTGCTAAATAAATGAAAAATCCCCAAACCATCATGGAACCAGTTATAAATGGAATCACATCAGTCCTTTAGATTAAACAATTAAACAAGAGAGTGGTAATTTTGGAAAGGAAGGCAAACAGATGGCAGAGAAACAAAAATGGGGGCATTAGAGACAGCTAGTTATCATGATTTAACAACTCATTAATCAGCTACATTTCTCAATGTATTCTAACTCTAGAAGACTCTGTGTAATTCATTGTGACAACATATACAAAACCATACTTACCTATTTTTTCTTCCAACTCTTTTACTAAAGAAGGTTGATCATTTTCTACAGGTGATTTCTCTAAGGAATCCTAGATTTTATAGAAAAAACAAAAAGAAAATCACTTCATTTCCCATGATGAACTAATTGGCCATCATATCAAGCATGAGAAAATCCTCATTAAAGAAAATTCACACAAAAAGCAATTTGATGAGCAGTCTTTTTCTTACCTTGATAGACCAAGTAATACTGACCTTATGCATATAGAATTTACTGTAAAAAAAACAGTAGTATCCAAGGCCAAGATGAACAACCTGACACATACCAAACACATAATGCAATAAAGAAAAGATTAAATGATTATAGTTTATCATACTTTCACAAATTTTGGACAAAAATCTAAAATTTTGGCTAAAGTTAAATACCACAATAGCCCACTTTTCTGCTCAATAGTGCTCTTTAAGAAAGGTAAAATGTATATCACACCACAATGAAATTCTAGTTTTTTCATGTTGTAGTTTTGGTGTTGACTAGTTATGCAATTTTGACCAAGACATTTAACCCCTTAATCATTTAATCTTATGCCAGATCAAGATTCTAAAATGATCTAAAACCAAAAAGTGACCAATATGGATACAGAATACGTAACATGAAAATGTTTAATGTACTTTTCAGAAAACAATTTACTTCTGACTTAAAAGTGTAAAAATTTAATGTATGTATTTTCTAGTCTAGTACTAGAACTAAGAATTTATTTAAATTAATAAAATTGAAATAATAGTACCTTTAATAACAACAACTCTGCTCTCACGTCCTGCAATTCAGCTTCTTTTTGTTCCTGCGATAGCCTCAGGTTTTCAAGCTCCCTTACAAAAGACTGTTCTTTTTCATTTTGGGTTTTATTTTTGCTATGTAAGTTTTGAGAGGCTTCTTCAACTTGACTTAAAAGATTCTGATTTTCAAGCCTTGTTTTCTCATTAGCATTCTTCATTTCTAGAAGATCAGACTGCAAAGCCTCTTTATGCGACAGGGTTTCTTCTAATTCTTTCCTTAAGAGAACTTTCTCTTGTTCATGGTCTCTTAGTAGAGACTGAAGCTCTTCATGCTGAACTGCATTCTCTTCTTGAAGGCACTTAATCTTTGTTTCTAACTCTGCTACCCTTTCATCATACTGAAATATCAAGTTGTGTTTTTCCTCATTGATTTTAGCTAAGGATTCACCTACAGCTTGTAGGATATTTACAACATCTTGCTCTTCATCTTCTTCTGAAACTTTTGACTCCATCTGCTTCAGAAAACCATATAACTGAGTTTTGACAAATAACTTCTGAACCTGCTCATTTTCAAACAGTGTACTTAAATTATCTCGTTCTGTAATTGTTACCTGAAGTTTCTTTTCTAATTCAGAAATGTGTTCCTTAAGCATAACATCTTCTTTTTGGGACAGGAGAACTTCCAAATCCCTATTCAACTGGTTCTTTTCTGAACTTAATCTATTATTTTCCTCATAAAGAGACTTAACTTCAGATGATAGTGCTTCCTGGTCCTCAGAGACAGTTTTTAATTGAACCATAAGTTTTTCTAGTTTTTGGTTATTTTGATCCTTTTCTTTTAAAGTTTCTTCTAGTTCTCCTCTTAATTCATTTACCTTTTGTTCCAGTTCACTGTTGCAGTGGCTAGTTTGCTCTACTTTTCCCCTAAGTTCTACAATCAATTTTTCTTCCCTTTCACATTTTTTATGGAGATTATCCATCTCTTCATGAGAAGTTTTTATTTTACTTATGAAATCATTTTTTTCCTCAGTGAGGGAACTTATCTTTGCTTCAAGTTCTTGTAACATGGTATCTCTCTGACTGAGACTAACTAAACACACTTCATTCTTCTCTTGAAGACTTTTTATGGTATTTTCAAGTTCTGGCACTAATTCTTGTTGGGACAACTTTTCATTTTCTCTCTGGAGACGATTCACAGTTTCAAGAAGAGCATCTTTTTCATTAAAGGCTGTTCTGAGTTTCTGCTGAAGTTCGTTAACATCAGATGCTTGCTGTTGCTTCATTGATTCAAACTCTTGACTTATTTTCCCAGCAGATTCCCCCAGTTCTGTTTGTAAGATCTCCATAATCTCCCTCAGACTCTCATAATTTAAAATTGCTTCTTGCTTTTCTTGCTGTAGGTTTTCACACTGCTCCTTAAGACCTTGTATTTCAAACATTAGTGTTAATTTTTCTTTTTCTGAACCTGACAAAAATGTCTCAGTTAGTTCTGATATTTCTTTTTGATGCTGTTCCTTAAGTCTCTGTACTTCTTTGTTATGTTGTTCTACAATACAGCAAAATTGTTTGTTTGAATCTTCTAGTTCAGATTTTAATTTTTCAATTACACAGCTCTGTTCTTCTTTAGCTAGCAATAATTCATTAATTTTAAACTCTAAGTCTTCCCGTTCATGAAAAAACTCATCCTTTATATGTTGTGCATCAAGTTCAAGTTTTAATTTAAGATTATTCATGTAAGTTACCTCATCTTTTAAGATACTATGTTGAGACTCCAGTTCTTTTAAGGTGTTTTCTAAGTGTTTGATTTTTTCGTTTACTACTTGTTCTACAAAAGCTTCTTCTTGTAAGAGCATAGGACACATCTGATTTTCGTGGCTTGCATCTGGCGCATTCTCTAAGTTTTCTAATTCACATTCATATTTCTCCTGAATGTTCTTCACACTTGCTTCACATTGTCTGACTAAATTCTCCTTTAGCTGGTTTAAATTACTCACTTCTGCTTCCCGTTCTTTTGCAGATGCTTCTATTTGGCACATCAAATCTTTCACCTCTTCTTGGTGTGCAACTTTCAACTGCAAAAGCTCTTCTTGCAAACTATTAATATCTTTTTGGTAACGCTGGGAATTAGCCTCAATGACTTCTTGGAGATGCGTAATTTCTTGTTCCTTTTCATTTGTGGCAGTGCTTAATTGTTTTTGCAGATATAAAATTTGTTCCTCAAAGACTGGCTTGATGTTCTGAATTTCTTGTAGTTTTTTAACATTATCTTCACAGTTACCCTGAAATTTAAGTTGTTCGGAAAGTTCTAATTGTTTTTTTGTTGCTTCTTCCAGTTCCTTTTGCAAGCTAGCTTTATCTTCACTGTGTTTGGAATGTACTGCCATTAATTCATTTTTCAGATTTTCAATTTCTTTCACATAGTTTCCTTGTGATTGTTCAAACTCCTTGTGCACATCTTCCATCTTAGTAATAGAATCCTATTATAAAAATCAGCACACAAAAATACCTAATTAAGACAAAAGAAATGCCTGCCTTCAGGAAAAATATTAGCCACAGGCTAACTGGAGAGAAAAGGAAGTGAGCAAAAATGTACATAGAGCAATATGACACTGAGACTCCCAAGAATTCTGCTCAGGCTGCAACTACCTTAAGTATCATACTGCACGTTGCAGTACTAAATGTGTTATTCAGGGTAATAACTAAAATCTAAGAAATCTCTGGATTTAATTTCCTTTTAAAAAGGGATAAATTATGGAAGTTATACTGAGTCACAAAGGTTTAATGAGTTATCTCCTGAGTTGAACAATAGGGGACTTTTGGGGAAAATTAGCCCAGACCCAATAGGCAATGGACTATTCCAGAACTGAACAATGATTCATTTAGAGTATGTGTGAGAGTCAACTTACTTAAACAAGTACTTTTTCACAAAACAAGTAATTTTTAATAATTCTCATTAAAGAGTAACATTACAGCAATAAAGAGGATTAAGAAATGCAAAAACTAAATGCTAGTTCTATCTCTATGTAGATGAGGGATTTCAGTTGTTTTTCTTTTTTAGATATTAATTTGTTGTTGTAAATTATTAAAGTCATCAAATCACATGCTTGTTAAGATTTTAGCTCTAAAATTCATGACTATAGTAAATAAATAAAAAAACCAAACATTACATTGTTGCCTTACCTCAACCTCTTGCTTCATTTTAATATTTTCTTTCTTCAGATAAAGACACTGTTGCTCACTCTCTGCTTTTTCCAGAAGAAGAGCATCCAGACGTTCAGTCAATGCCTGTTTTGGAGCAGGGTGATTTGTTTGCCAGAGGTTAAAAATGATGGATTGAACACATGCATAATTTGTTCTTCACCATTTCCAAACCACACTGAAGTAAGAATAAAAGACTTAAAAAGGTCTATACATAAGAACAAAGAGAAAAGGAGAAAATAAATAAGGACTACGGGAAATTTCACCATATTTTTGAAAAACTGAAAAGTGGAGGAGGAACTGAATTAGAAAGAGGAAGAAAAGTAAAACTTACAGTGTCTTCACAGGGAAACACACGAGAAGCTGGCAAATACTCTAGTAAATTAAATGTCCAGAAATTGGAGGCCCTAGATATTGTTGAGGGAAGTATAATGTGTGGGATTCAAAAACTGGGGATTGGTTGACAATATGAATAGGGAGGATGAGAATAAAAGGCAAGAAATCACCCCTGTCCCATCTTCCTCACAGACAGGTTTGTTCTCTGCAGAAATTTAACAGGATAGAAAGTAAATGAAATGGAAACTAGGTCAACAAGAGTAAGTAAAACTTCTAGCAAGACTGATTAAGAGAAGACAGAAGTCACAACAATAAAAATAAAAAGGAAACATATCTACATATAAATCAGAGATTAAACAGCTAAAGAGAATATTATGAACAATTATTTGGCAATAACATTAAAAACTGAAATGAAAGGAATAAAAATATAGCCTTATTAACTCAAGAAAAAAAAATTAAAAAGCCTAATACTGTAACAATTTAAAAATTAAACTAGTGGTTTAAAAACATGTCCACCTAAGGTAACAGAAGGAATAGTTTTACAGGTGAATTCTATCAAATTTTCAAAGAACAGATTATCCCAATTACATATGAACTTGTTCAGACAAAATAAGAAGCAGATTCCATTATTCTACAAAATTTGCATAACATGATACAAATATTGAAAGACTTTACAAACAGGAAAATCACAAATCCAATTCATCATGAATCCAGATTAAGTTAAACCTAAATGTTTAAAATCTATAAAAATGTTAAAATCTTAAATAAATTAGTCTACTATCACTCTATATCTGTCTACTTCTGAACTTACATAAAGTAATAAAAACAAACCAAACAACAGATGTAGAAAATTTAGAGTTCTATATCAAGTTATAGCTATTATTCAAACACAGGTAGAATAAAGCCATTTTAAAATATGGGATGACATTTTCCTCCCATACATCCCTTCTTAGGATGCTACAGAAGGGCATACTCTATGAAGATGAGGTTAACCACCACAGCGAATAATATGTCACTTAGCAAATGGGGGGCCAATATAGAAAAGCAGTGTAAAAATTCACAGGATCATGGCACAAGGCCATTTCCAGGAAAACTGGGTGGCAGACCTAGAGAACAACCAGAACAAATTAATGCAGGACAGAAGGCTTTAGAAGGGGGGTGGAGGGGTCCAGGAAAAAACAGTAAAGATGATCTGATCTATCTGATCAATGGAAAGTAGGAGTTATTGGGAAAGATAGCAAAATTTTCATATGCTGTTAACAGCAAGTTAATAGCTAAATGTCTAAAATGGATAAATCAAGGAATAGCAGTGTAACTGTATTATTTAGAAATACAGAAATAATTTCTAGAAGTTATTAGTGTTTTAATAAGTTATTTAGTTATTAGCATTATTTGTAAATTATGTGCACAGATTACTTTGGTTAAAACAATTTTAGTTTTAAAATTAGCTTTTTCACATTACATAGAATATTGCAAAATAAACTTCTGATTGGTAAATATCAGGGCAATCCTAAATACATTCACTGATTTTTAGGGGATATATACAGGTCATTAACTGAAAACAGCTATAAAAAATCTTGAAGATTAGAGGCACAGATGCACAGTTATTTCTTAGGAAATACAGACTTGATTCCAGCAAAGAGATAATAACAAGAGTGACATGTACAAGAAATTTCATTATCTTAACATGCAATTTCACCTCCCCCTTGCATTTGGAAGCAGCATATAACTTCATATACCTTCAAATTTTGACATGGAAAATACGATTATTCCTCTTCTAAAAATGAAAGTCAAATACATCAGCTTTGAATAAAACTTTAGATGTATCCCAATGTGCTAGAAGATAACTACTAGAAATAAGATGACTACTAGAAATTTAGAAAATTTAGAAAAGCATGGAAAAAAACATTACAAAGCTTTGAGAAACAAAAGAAACTCTAAAGATTAGACCAAATGGGTGGGGAGGGTACATTTAGTTAGCATTAGGGGCCTGTAAGTAAGAATAAGCAATTCAGGTTCTTCAACAGATAAACAAGATAAAAACAATACCCTGTGATCTGGCAAGAGCATATAAAACAAAAAGAGAAGAGAGAGCCGGGTTAGGGAAGAGAAAGTGTACTGATAAACTGCAGCATTATCTTGAAGGAACTATAGATCACTGGTGGCTGACACATGTACAGGATAAAGGAAACAGGAAAACTGAAGAGTCTCTAAAGTTAAAAGGTCTGAAAAACAGTGCTGCCACTGGTTGTCCAGTAAAAGGGATTTGGCCATGCTAAACACAAAGAGAAATGGGTGAATATTTAAATCTTTCCCCAAACAGCTAGAGATTCAACTGTGAGATGTGGGTCAGTAATCACATCCAGGTATATATATCTATTTATAGATTTTGTGCATCCATTGGCCTAAAAATCACCATCAAATTCCTGAGCACGGGTTTTCTGAGGGGGAGAGGGAAGAGCAGGGCTGAGATTAAGGCAGCGCCTTAATTACAGAGTGTGTGCGATGGAAAAGAGAAGAGAGTACCACTCATTTCACACAGAAAGAGAGGTAAAAAACTTAACCAAGGGCAGAGAGGAAGTGGAAAAACAGAGGCAAAAGCCAGAAAGGGCTCTGGCACATTGACAGCTTTAAAGGAAATTTGATTTGTTATTACACATTTCCTCTAAGTAAATAAATAAAAATTAAAGCAATATTTGCAACTTTTGCATTACCTTAATAATATCACCAGTTCCTCCAGCAACAGGTTTTGTTTTGAATTCCTCAATTTCTTTCTCCAATTCTAAATAATTATTAAAAAAAATTCCAGTTCAGAAATGAAGAGAATAATTATTGTCTAAAGTGGTAAGTACATTCTTTAAGAAAAAAAAAGACACTATAAATTAGAATAAAGCAGCAGATATTTTGAGAAAGTACTAATTTCACCCCATATTACCTTTTATTTTCCTTTTTTCTTATGGAAAAATTCCAGACAAGTAAGAAAAGTAGAAAGGATAGTATGATTAATACACCCATCACCTTAATTTAGCAATAATTACATGGACTCATTTCATCCTGACCTGTATTTTTCCTTTTTTCTTACCTATCTTGATATTTTTGATGCAAATCTGAGACATTATAGTATTTTAGCTGTAAATAACTTCTTACTGTATAATCTTAAAGCAATAATTAACCTCATATTAAGCATAAATACTAACCTATTTCATCAACTCATGTCCAGGTCTGGAGCCTAGAACACGTTTCCAAATATATTTATTACTCTCTTTATCACAAACTGGCCCAATCTCCCTAAACACAATGTGACCTTTTCTAGTAGAAAATAAATCTTGGCTTGTAGCAATTAACATTTGTTAAGTCATTGGAAATTCATGACCTCACCGCACGTATTGAAAAGAATACTAATATCTACATTCTTTAGGAATATAAAGTTGAACAGGCAATCAATCAACTTCCACAAATATATTTCAACATTCCAGGAATGGAAATATTTTATTACTTTACTTGAGGCCTCTTTTTACTTCTTTGGGCTCACAATCTTCTATCTCTGACATTTCAACTGACTACCCTAGAAAAAAATGATTTATCTAGATCAATATACAATCCAAATCCAAAAAAATGCTTAATTTTAACCAAATTTTTCTTTAAGATCCTCTTCCTTGATTTTTATTATTTTATTATTTAAGTTATTTTAATAGTTCAAAAATAACTGCCGTTTAGAGATGTGTAATGGTAAAAAAAAAAAAAATCACAGGTAAATGGTTAGAATGTTAAATAATAATAGATTTCACACTGAGTAAGATTTTATTGGATTCACTGGTAAACAAAATAAGCCAATATACAACTAAAAACCTAGTATTTTAAATCATGATTCAATGAGATTGTATCAATGATACAATCATGTATTCAAATCATGTATTTTAAATCATGATTCAATGAGATTGTAAAGATGAGTATTTTCAACTCAATACCTGCACATCGGGCTTTAGCTTTCTGTATTAGCATCATCTGCTTCTTGGCAAACTTGATAAGATCTTCCTTGGGCAAGGTTTCCAGCTGAAAGATGTAATGATATTACTAATTTGTTATAACTCATGTTCCTTTTAGACCACAAAAAAAGAAACATAATATCTTCTTAAAAACATCCTACTGAATAAATCTTCATGTCAACCAAACCATATTTTTTAAAAGTAGCAACTGCAACTTCAACTCAATAAATACCAGTTAAGGGACTGCTATGAAATATAAAAAACAGCACATATCCTCTTACTCACATAAATTCTTGTTTAGGTTAAGATACTTTCTGGGTTTTGATTTAATTGTAAAATTAGGGGACTGGGACTAATTCTACTTAACGTTCCTTGGAGCTGTAAAATTATTCAAGGCTGAAATGTCTTTGGCTACCTGAAAATATGTAAGCATAAATATAGCAACAAGACAAATCAGGGTGCATTTAGTCTTTTTAAGAAATCAGGGAAATTACTTAACCTCTGGGCTCAGTTTTCTCATCTGTAAAATTGGGATAACAAAAGTACTTGTCTCATGGTTACCATGAAGCTTAAATGATGAAGTAACTGTTCAGGGAAGTACTGAAAACTTAGTATGCAAGCAATAAACCACTATCTTTTTAGAATCATGGAATGTTAAACGTTGTACCAGACCATAAAAATTACCTAATTCAACCTTTTTTTCATACTGTAGGAGTAACCTACAGAATTGAGTCCGTTGACTCCTACTTAATGTCACTGCTCTTTCCACTACACTATATAAATCCTCATAGATTAATGTTTGAAAAATTGCAGAATCTCTCAGCGGTGCTAACCAGGAGCAGGAAGTAAACAAGGTCCATTCCTTTCACACCATGAAACTTAAAAAAAAAAAAAAAAAAAAAAAGATAACAGATTGGTTACTGTGTCAATTAGAATCCAGAGCCCTTGGGGGAAGGGTTTCTTTTAAATAGGCCACCCTCCTACCCATGCCAAAGTTTTCCATTCATCACCCTTCCACTCTTCAGTGAATTGGCTAGTCAAGTACTGTATTCTCTTCACCTTAGATTTCCCGGTCCCAGAGGTGGCTGGTGAAGCCACCCCATCTTGAACAGGATCCTGCAAAACAAAATCAAACCCACGTATCAAGAACTCTTCTAATCTCAGATAGAACGCTGGAACCTTTACAGGTAAAGCCTCTCCGTGGAATCAATTGTAGGAAACTCCTATGTGAGTTAGGGAAGGTGAGGGTCTGTCGCTGTGGCAAATCATATACAATCTGGCTCTAAGGAGCCAGGTAATCTAGGGACTGAGTTTGGGGCAGTAGGGGCAGAGACCGGAGCAGCGCAGGGCTGCGGGGCGCAAAGGGAAGGTTGCCAAGAACTCACACGGCGCCCATCCCCGTGTCTCAAACCGCGGCTCGGGAAGGCCCCGCGGGGAGATGGTGGGCCCCGGTCCCAGTCCGGTCGCCCGAGCAGCGTTACCTCCATGGCAGCCGGCCTGCAGTGGCCACGCAGCCCCGCTGCCCCGCAACCCCTACAGCCCAGCCGCCGCCGACTCCGCACTTCCGTCTGCTGTCGCCTCTGACGTACCCTCGGCTGCAGGTTAAAGGTCGCGCTTCTCCGTGGCTACCCGCCACCCCCCGCGTCTCCATGGCTACCGTCTGATGGCGCTTCCGCTTCCGCTTCTCCTCCGGGAGGCGGGTCCCGGCGCGCGCCCTGCCCCGCCATCTGCCAGCTCCGCCCGACTCCCTGGCCTAACCCGGGGTGGGGGAGGTTTCTGCACGTTCCGGTGGGCGGGGGGGACAAACCCTGGTATTGGGTGTCACAAACCCTGGTAGGTTTGAATCCTGCCACTGCTATGTTTTAGTAGCTGTGAGAATTGGGCAAATCACCCCTGAGACCCTCGTTTTCCATACCTTAAAATGCTGTTAGGATGATGGGAGTACTGTATTGAGGGTCAGGTACCCCAAAAAGGCCAGTTACCTTACTCTTTAAAAAAAAAAAATTTTTTTAACGTTTATTTATTTTTGAGAGACAGAGACAGAGCACAAGCAGGGGAGGAGCAGAGAGAGGGAGACAGAATTGGAAGCAGGCTACAGGCTCTGAGCTGTCAGCATAGAGCCTGAGGCAGGTCTCGAATTCATAAACCGTGAGATCATGACCTGAGCCAAAGTTGGTCCCTTAACGGACTGAGCCACCCAGGCGCCTGGTCAGTTACCTTACTCTTTATGGAAAGCCTCAGATGCCTGTCAGATAGCTGTTTTCAAGAGGATTCTTAGGCAGATGCCGTCCAGCAGGGTGCCCTGTGAGTTCTCTCCGGAGCTGATGGAGCCAAGGATGCGGCCTCCCGAAGCAGGCATTTTTTGGCTCTCAAGGCTGTGAGGATGTCCCCAGGGGAGCTTTTGTCCAAGGGGGCTTTGAACCCTTGCTGATGTGGGAAGCAAGAGAGACGGCCTCTCTCAGGGCCAAGATGGAGGAACAGAGATGGTGAGAGACAGCACCTTATGTGGAACTAATGGGTTGTTTGTTGGTGCTTCCCCATCCCACAAGGAGTGTTCCCAGTGTACATTCTTGCCTTGATCTGACCTAAGGGAAGCAGCATTCAGTCTTTAACCATTAAATGTGATGTTAGCCATAGGTTTTAATACTGATCTCCTTTATCAACTCTCTGTACGTGCAATAATAACAATAATAATACTCCCTTTTAAAAAACATTATGTCTTGATTATGAACATAAAATTTTGGTCTGATGAAATTAAAAATATGATTTTCCTCAGTCCACTATACTTCTGAAAATGCTCATGTTCATGTTGTGTCCCCTTCATCTCTCTCCTATTTTGTGTACTGTTTGATGACATTCTGATTGCATTTAAGTCTTTTAAGTGAGGGCCCAAAAGTTATGGTTTATGGTTTTGTTTACTGGGGGCCTCTGTTCCACTGTGGTAGCATGGCCTAGGAGATGGCCACATCCTTTTATCTCTGTCTTTCTCTTTCTCTCTCAAATATATGGTTAACCCCTCCTGGATATACATCATCAACCCTCAACAATTGACAATGCATGGCTAGTCTTATTTCACTTTTACTCACATTTACCATATCCTTAATTCTCCTACATTATTTTGAAATAAATCCCAGGGAGCATATCATTTAATTTATAATATTTCTGAATGTATTTGTAAAATACTTTTTTATTAAAAAGTAGACAAATACTATTATGATACAAAAAACAGAATTATTAATATCATTGCATATCCAATTAATGTTCATGTTGGCCAAAGTAGTCCTTTTAGAATTTGATTGTTTGATTCAGAATATTAACACCCATTCTTTGCAACTGGTTTATATGTCTCTCTCTCTTTTTTAAATTTTGAAGAAGGTATTATAATATCTTTTATTTTGTTATTATTATTATTATTATTTTTATTTTTATTTACATCCAAGGTAGTTAGCATATAGTGCTATAATGATTTCCGGAGTAGATTCCAGTGATTCATCCCCTATGTATAACACCCAGTACTCATCTCAACAAATGTCCTCCTTAATGCCACTTTACCCATTTAGCCCATCCCTCCACCCACAACCCCTCCGGTAGCCCTCAGTTTTTTCTCTGTATTTGAGAGTCTCTTATGTTTGTCCCCCCTCCTTGTTTTTATATTATTTTTGCTTCCCTTCCCTATGTTCATCTGTTTTGTATCTTAAATTCCTCTTATGAGTGAAGTCATATGGTGTTTGTCTTTCTCTGATTGGCTAATTTCACTTAGCATAATACCCTCTAGTTCCATCCATGTAGTTGCAAATGGCAAGATTTCATTCTTTTTGATTGCCGGGTAATACTCCATTGTATATATATACCACCTCTTCTTTATCCATTCATCCATGGATGGACATTTGGGCTCTTTCCATACTTTGGCTATTGTTGCTAGTGCTACTATAAACATTGGGGTGCATGTGCCCCTTCAAAACAGCATACCTGTATCCCTTGGATAAATACCTAGGAGTGCAATTGCTGGATCCTAGGGTAGTTCTATTTTTAATTTTTTGAGAAACCTCCATACTGTCTCCCAGAGTGACTGCACAGTTTGCATTCTTACCAGCAGTGGAAAAGAGATCCTCTTTCTCTGCTTCCTTGCCAACATGTGGTGTTGCAGGTAGTATCTCATTGTGGTTTTGATTTGTATTTCCCTGATAATGAGTGATGTTCAGCATTTTTTTATGTGTCTGTTGGTTGTCTGGATGGCTTCTTTGGAGAAATCTCTATTCATGTCTTTTGCCCGTTTCTTCACAGGATTATTTGGTTTGGTTTGGTTTTGATGTTGAGTTTGATAAATTCTTTATAGATTTTGGATACTAACCCTTTATCTGATAGGTCATTTGCAGATATCTTCTCGCATTCCATTGATTGCCTTTTAGCTTTGCTGATTGTTTCCTTTGCTGTGCAGAAGCTTTTTATCTTGATGAGGTCCCAATAGTTCATTTTTACTTTTGTTTCCCTTGCCTCTGGAGACGTTAGATAAGAAGTTGCTGCAGCTGAGGTCAAAGAGGTTTTGCCTGTCTTCTCCTTGAGGATTTTGATGGCTTTCTCTCTTACATTTAGGTCTTTCATCCATTTTGAGTTTATTTTTGTGTATAGTGTAAGAAAGTGGTCTAGGTTCATTCTTCTGTATGTTGCTGTCCAGTTTTCCCAGCAGCATTTGCTTTATTCCACTGAGTATTCTTTCCTGCTTTGTCAAAGATTAGTTGGCCATATGTTTGTGGGTCCATTTCTGGGTTCTCTATTCTGTTCCATTGACCTGAGTGTCTGTTTTTGTTCCAGTAGCATCCTGTCTTGACGATTACAGCTTTGTAGTACAGCTTGAATTCTGGGATTGTGATGCCTCCTGCTTTGGTTTTCTTTTTCAAGATTGCTTTGGGTATTCAAGGTCTTTTCTGGTTCCGTACAAATTTTAGGATTGTTTGTTGTAGCTCTGTGAAGATGCTGGTGTTATTTTGATAGGTATGGCATTGAATATGTAGTATTGACATTTTAACAATATTTGTTCTTCCAATCCATGAACATGGAATATTTTTCCATTTTTTTGTGTCTTCAATTTCATTCATAAGCTTTCTGTAGTTTTCAGTGTATAGATTTTTTACCTCTTTGCTTAAATTTATCCCTAGGTGTCTTATGGTTTTTGGTGCAATTATGAGTGGGATTGATTCCCTGATTTCTCTTTCTGCTGGTTCATTATTGGTATATAGGAATGCAACCGATTTCTGTGCATTGATTTTATATCCTGCGACTTTGCTGTATTCATGGATCAGTTCTAGCAGTTTTTAGTGGAATCTTTTGGGTTTTTCATATAGAGTATCATGTTGTCTGTGAAGAGTGAAAGTTTGACTTCCTCCTCACCGATTTGGATGCCTTTTATTCCTTTGTGTTGTTTGATTGCTAAGGCTAAGACTTCCAATACTATGATGAATAACGGTGACGAGAGTGGACATCCCTGTCATGTTCCTGACTGTAGGGGAAAAGCTCTCAGTGTTTCCCCATTGAGGATGATAATAGCATTGGGTCTTTCATATATGGCTTTTATGATCTTGAGGTATGATCCTTCTATGCCTACATTCTTGAAGGTTTTTTTTTCAAGAAAGAATGCTGTATTTTGTCAAATGCTTTCTCTGCATCTATTGAGAGGATCATGTGGTTCTTGTCCTTTCGTTTATTCATGTGATGTATCACATTGATTATTTTTCAGTTATTGAACCAGCCCTGCATCCCAGGTATAAATCCCATTTGGTCCTGGTGAATAATTCTTTTAATGTATTGTTGGATCTGTTTGGCTCATGTCTTGTTGAGGATTTTTGCATCCATGTTCATCAGGGAAATTGGTCTGTAGTTCTCCTTTTTATTGTCTGATTTTGGAATTAAGGTAATGCTGGCTTTATAGAATATGTTTGGGAGTTTCCCCTCCATTTCTATTTTTTTGGAACAGTGTCAAAAGAATAGGTGTCAAATCTTCTTTAAATGTTTGGTAGAAGTCCCCTGGAAAGCCATCTTCCCCTGAACTCTTGTTTTTCAGCAGAATTTTGGTTATTAATTCAATTTATTTACTGGTTATGGGTCTGTTCAAAATTTTCTATTTCTT